CTGCGCCGTAGACATGTAAACACTTGTGGCAATCAATCACAATAATTTACAAGCTGTAAGTAGGAGCTGGAACCAGCAGACCAGAGACCTGGTGACACATTTCTTCATGCTTCACAATCTTACTGAAACATTTATTATCCCAGGAAAATCATATCTGAGTACCCAAGTGTCAGGTGATAGCCAATTTTGTTCTGTATGATTATGGTAGAACAACAGTGAAAATCTGTAACAGAGCTGGAATAATGCCGTTGTTTTTATATTTTAACTCTGCAGTAAATAATTTTTCATTATAGTGCCCAAAAATTTCATGTCATCCTTAGCAGTTCTATTCAGAAAATTTACTCAATACAGACAGCAAGAAAATGAAGAGCTTTTACACTACTCTGGCTTTGAGCTATAGCTTAAGAGCAGTTTACTCCCATAGCTGTGAACAAATCTGGGGCCTTTCCAGTAATTAGAAGATCAGTGGTTTATGGTTTTCCATAGCATAAACTAACTTGTGCCTGTGTAAATTCCCAAGTTCTTATAAAGGGAAGTAAAAACTGCCTTGAGTGCTAGAGTACACATGCAAATGCAAACTGCAAATGCAAGTATCCTGGTACCTGGATTTTTAAAGTGTACCAAATATAGCAACAATAATTTTATTTAATAAAACTGGATTTACTTGATCATTTCTTCCCATATAGATATGTCTTAGAGACATGGTAATTTCCTGGACACAAACAATGATACAATCTGTCAGTGTGCAGAATAAAGTCTCTTTTCTAGTCTGTGTCAACATACTGGTTTGCTTAGTATCTGCATCTGCAGTTGCATATTGAGCTTCACAGTACTTACCGTCAGCAAGCCAGTTATTAACATCTTCATATATATCCTTGAAAACCTACATGCAGCTAGATGAATGCTTCATTTTAAGATATTGCTTATGGAATTTCAAGTAGGGTTTTTTTACACGTTTTTTAAAAGTGCATCCATATATCTAGGCAATGCTAATCTAAGCTGTGCTTTTTAGAGATTAGTTAAGGTTCACTAACAAGCAGGAGGAGTTCAAACAAATGAATCTTTGCTGGTTCCTATATAGTCATTGGTTTGCATTTTAATTCTTACAAGACCTTTGCAAAGGGCTTTCTTTCCTGGCCAAGGATATTCTTGTGTGCTTGAGTGGAAACATGAGAGGCTTTATACCAATACAAGATTGTTCTCTAAATATAGCCATTTCCAGTGGTTATTTTAAACTAAGTGTCAAACTGGAGAGTAATTAGGGCAGGAACTGTAGTTTGTTTGAAAAAGAAGAGAGAACTTTGCACAGTGAAGTTGTCTTATATGGAAATAAGATGAATGGTATGTGTAGTTTGGACTACCACATGTAGCTAAAAAGCAAAGCTGTAATCAGTTTTTGTTTTAATATGAATTCGGAGTAGACTTCACAGCTGGTGAGTGTTGAAGCCAAAAATAAAGTTAGTTACATGATCAATCACACCTTACTAACAGGGAACTCATGTGCTGGGTCAGCTAGACATTTTTCTGTTAGTTAACCTTTCCATAGTTGCTTTGCTTTTGTGCTATTTCTTTTTGATAGATCATTTTGTGTTTTCTGTTAGTTAGGTATCTAAAAGGGAGTTTCACTGCTATGCCTTAAGCCAATCTGCAGGTTAGTCCACTGCTTTTAAGACAGATAAACTAACCACTAACTGCATTGCATATGGAATCCATCATCTTTGGTATTTCTGTTTGATTAGAGAGAGAGAGAGAGTGAGAGTGAGAGGGTTGGAGAGAGAGAGAGAAAGAGAGGGAGAGGGAGAAGGAGAGAGAGGGAGAGAGAGGAAGAGTTCCAGCTGAAGTCCAAAGCAGTAAGAAATCTCAGCAGAAGTTCACATTCTGAAAATATTCAGACAGCTTTGTGAAAAGAGAAGAAAATGCTTTATCTTTGAAACTTGCTGGAAAATTTAATTGTTGCCTGCTGGACACATGCATGAGCTGAACCACTCTCATGAGTGGCACCTTTTCTAATTCAGTGATTGTGCCATCCTTTTGTACAGTGTGTGTATGACCTGTATTGTACTGCAGTCAATGCCCTGAGAGAGAAGGGTGGCAGACTGAAGGGTCCTCATAGCAACAGAGTAAAGTGTTGCTCTAGTCTCACAGAAGAAGATCTTTTGGAGAGAGATGTGTAATGAGCAAATGAGTAAAGGAGGTAATGAGCCCGACTGGAGACACTGGTGCAGGCCACACCAGCATGAGCCAGCCTGTGTACTGTGTTCTCCAGATGAGTGCATGAAGGGGCATATCTCATCATTTTTAAGCACTAAAATTAGTCAGTATGGAATGCGCATGTCTGCCATGCAATCCTGCAGGCCATGATTAGACAAATTTCTTGATATTGTTTTCTTTCCACTTTCATATTTGTTGCAGAATTTAAGTCCTCATATACTACTGAATTATTTCTTGTAGAAGCCTAGGAGATAAGAGGCTAATATGTACATCTCAAACACTGATAGTTGGATAGCCATGGAGCCAACCAAGGATTGTTGGTAATAATAGCCAAGGATTGTCAGTAATAACACACTGTGATCAAGAACAGGATGTGGCTGGAGAAAAGGGTGATACAGAGGTAAGGCAGCACTTTTCTGGGACAAACATCCTTATTCTGGCTCGTGGAGACAAACACAACATAGTAGAGTGCAGGCACAAGAATGAGATCAAGAAGCAGGAATGGACTGTAGTGGGGGGATCAAGACCACCAAAGACCCCCGAAGTCCTCTGATGCATTTCCAGAAAGGCTTAGAAGAACAGACTGCGCATGGTAACTGATTTGCAGGGAAAGTGACAAACTTACCTGCAGGGCAGGGAAGAATTACCTATGAAAAGGTAACTCCATGATGCTCTGCTGAAGGGGCACTTCCAGAACCTTGGACACCCCATCAGCTGGATCAATGCTGGAGCCAGGACTGGTGACATCTTTTTCTTTTTTCTTCCTCTCTCTCTCTCTCCCTGTTTAACTCATCTCTCTCTCTCTCTCTCTCTCTCTCTCTCTCTCTCTCTCTGCCCTTTCACCTTACCTCTTTATCCAAAACCCTCTCTTGTGTGCTTATATAGGAGGTCAGGGACTAACATATTAATGTCCCTGCAAAGTGTGTGATTTACTAATAAAACTTTGCAAACTTTTGCAGACCCTCTGACTTCTGTCATTCCTTTTTACCACAAACATCTATAAGCTTTGCATGCTCCCTTCCCCTTAAGGGTGGGATGCCACACTTACAGAGAGAGATACAAAGAAATAACTACAGGTTTATTCTCTCAATAAATATTTCATCAGAGGTGAGCTACCAAGTTATATCTGTTTTCAGTAAAGCTCCATGGGTTTCATTTTCCCTGACTGCCATTCATGTGGCACGGAGATGTAGAGGTAAAAAGCAGGTTTAAAATTTGTTGTATGCCTCCCCTGCTGGAATTAGTCTGTATTCTCCTGAAACAGATTGGTTCACAGGTCTGAGAACAGCTGGGAAGCAGAGACATTTTCCTCCATAGTGCATTGCAAGGACAACCATGAGCATTTCTTGAGGCCAGTTTCCTGACTGTTAATACTCCTACACTTTGCTTCAAGAGTTGGAAACATGGCAAAGAACCAATTCCTTTATTTGCAAAAGCTAGAAGATACAGAATACTTTGATTTCTTCTTTAAAGCAATTTTTTAAAAAAACAACATGGAAGAAAAAAATTCCCAAACCAAAAAACCATCTTCTGTGGAAAAGAAAATAAAATAGAGCAGTTTTAAAGGCAAGGAAATAACCAAGTATATGAATATTTGTACTTTGTTGCTTTCTTTGTATTGCATGCTGTATCCCTTGCTTCCTAAATCGTTGTGATTTTTGCTTCTAAAAATTTACAGAAAATTTACTTGCCTATTTGCATGATGTATTTTATTGATTCTCCCTCATTAAAATTTTTATTTTTTAAATGCAGTCAGCTTGTGACATTACATTTTCCTAAATTCTGAATGTGAAAATTTTTGGCCTTAGGTGATTGTTGTATACTGGGTCAGTTTGGATCAGCTTCTCGGTAGCATTAGAGACCAGGCTCTTGAAGACTGGTATGTGAGCCTTGTAGTTTCTTTTCTCTGTAGGAGCACTGTAGTTACAGAAATGCTGGCTCGGTACTTCAGGTTATTTCAGTATCATGCATTGAAAAGCTGTCTTTTTGTTTTTTTCCAAGTTCCTAATGGTCATAAATATTCCACTTGTTTTCCAAGATAAAACTTGTCAGGCATCCTCTCCTGTGGCCTAGTTTACTCTCAGCTTCTGAGGTGTGGAGGAGCAGCAGCTCTGTGAGTTTCACCCTCTGTGTGCTCTGGAAGTGGATCTTTCTCCTGCTCCACATTAGAGGGAGAGGCTGGGGACCATGTCAGAAAATTGCACTGATACCGTATGGCAAATGTCTCTTGTGTGTGAGCTGTGAAGCAGCTGTTGATGCTATTTGAGTTTGTAGCTTGCAACAGAGGCGGGAAAAGACAGTCCTACACCTTCACTTCTAAGCGTTGAGTAGCATATGTGTTAAATTTGAACCCAAAATAACAGTTGTGGAGCTAGTATAATCACTCATTAACATTTAATAAGGATCTAATTGTCTCTGTATTCCCAAAGATGTCCTTTGATACTTCTCGGATGAGCACAACTTCAAATTTCTTCCGTAAACAATAAACTTTCTCTGCAAGCAGCTGAAGTTTTCCAACTCCCGAGGGTAATAGGTAGAACTGGTGGGATCAGCTGCTGGGGCAGACTTGAAAATCTGTTTCTTGAATTATTTCACTAGAAACAAAGTGATGAGTCATTGCCAGTGACTTGTACTGGCACTGTCAAGTGTGGAGAGCAGCAAATAGGAGTCCTCAGATGTGCTCAGCACAAGCTCCTGGCACCGATTTCTTCCCAAGGGATGCGCATTTGCAGAAAATACTTTTTCAGCAGAGAATTCACTGTTCACTGTTCCTGTGGAAGCTGTAAACGCACAGAAAATGTGTTGGGACTGGTGCTGAATGTGTTTGTTGATGCTGTGTGAACTTTGGTAACACCTTCAAGCATTCCAGCATTTGCCTTGTCTCAATTCTGAGCTATACTTTATGGCAAATGCAACACTAAAAGGCATTCTCAGAAAAACTGGACTAAGGACTGTTTTTAGAAAGACCACTCAAAGCTTGGCAGATAGAGCAAAGTTATGCCTGTGGGCTTTATTTTCTGCATAGTTTCTTTTTATTTTGAATAAATGCGAGGAACATGCTGCTTAGTTGGGCTCGTGTGTTGATACAGTCGGTGTCACAAACAGCACAGGCAGTCCTCCACACTGTAAAATGGCAACAAGAACTGGGAGGCAACAGGGAGTTGTATTGCAGTGCACTTGTTTTATGTTTAATTCATACTAACAGCCAGCTGGGAGGATGCAAGTGAGATCTGCTGCTGCCTTTTTGGGTCCCTTGACTACATTGTAAGCAATAAACTGGGGGACAAATTTGCAAGAGAACCACTCCCTGGGGGCAGTGTTAAGTACCTGGTGAGGTTTGGCAGCCCTAGTGTACTAGGGTAAGTTAATTCAAATGGTGTTTTATGGATTTACCTAAACTTCATTAATGTCTGTGTGATCACCCTAGGATATTTAGGATATAAAGTAAGTAGAATAAGACCTAGTAGCCTTAGTAATCCTTTAGGGGGAAAAATAATAATAGTTAGAAAAAATCTAATGAAAGGCCATAAACTCTATTACTTCGGAAAGTTTTGACAAGCTTTTGTGTATTTTGACCATGAAACAGTAGTCAGTTAGGACATCCTGAAGAAAACAGTGTCATGAACTGTCAGGGCCAGATTGATAGATTTTTTCAATGACTCATTTATATCTGAGGTTCCAGTCCAGTCTTGATAAATGTGTCTTACAGTTCAGATGGGGTATGCTAAATTCCTTTGTGAGCAATTGCCCAGGGATAATACTGGATACTCACTGGAATGATATTGAAATAAGTGCTAAAATTCACCAAAATTCTCAATAACTTTTCACTTCAAACATAATCTAGAAAAAAATAGAAATATTTGGGGCTTGTGTTAAGAATAAAGTCTTAGCATCTGTGATGACAAGTGTTTCAGGGCAGCTGGGGAGCGTTTGAAGGGGATGCCTGAAGGAATTCCTTTGTTACCATTGCCTAGCGAGGGGAAGCAGAGAGGCCACCAGTGGCAGATGTGAAGAGTGGACTTGGCCAGACAGATGGCAAAGCCCTGTGCCTATTCTGGGTGACATCAATGGCCAGAAATGAATCCAGATGTATTAGGTTGTTTGCTGACTTGGACTCAGTTACAAAGAAGAATTTGACTGGCTATATTAGTTTAAACACAAAGCCCAGGGAAGTTAAAATGTATCAAAATTCTTGTTTCTTGTAATCAGAAATTAGATACCTTGTACAAAGCAAAATACTGCTCTCCTAGATGCCTAAACGTTCATGATGTTGATTGGCATCCATCTCTTTCTGTTCCCTTAGATTGGAGTATGCGTAAGAAGGTATCTTTTCCTTTTGATACCAAGTGATCCTCACTAATTCTGGGTAGTTCATATATCTTGCTCGGGGCAGAAGCTCCACAACGGAATCTACTTCCAGTGGTAGTAGAGACTCCTGAGGCACATGGGAGGGAGCTCTAGGGCATCAGCTCCTCCCCACAGTTGCCCACAGCATCCTGTAAAATACTTTGTGAATCTTTTGGATGTTCAGACCATCGCTGTGCAATTTGCTGTAATCCCTGTAAAAACTGAAAAGTCATTCTGGGGTTAATAAATATGTGCAAGTTGCACGTCAAAAAAACAACAAACAAACAAACAAACAACAACAACAACAACAAAACGAAAAAAAAACCAAAAAAATCAGGCTTTCATTCCTGGCTTTTGATTTGTAGCATTTTGTATTTTTTAAATTAGCTACTCAGCTAATAGGCATAGAAAGTAATGACTGAAGAAGAAAGAACAACAAACTCAGAGTAGCCTTAGTAGGTTGAATTGCTGACTTCTTGGACTGTGAAATTAACATCCTTTTTAATTTTGCCATTTTTAACAATTTCCATTTAAGAGTACTTGGTCAGAAGTCATATTTGTTGAAAGTAGCTCCCTTGTAGGATTAGGGTTATGACCAGAGTCCCTGTGCTCAGCTTGCAAAGGATGTACTCTACCGTGGAGTGTGGATATGTATCATTTGAAGTGTACTTTCTGCTCAAAGGGAAGAGATAGGATGCTGGATGCATTATACTTGAATCAAAAATCTTTTGGCAAGCATCTCTGGACACAGAGTAATCAATATCTAATAAATGTGATGGTACAACAGGTTATATTTAAATCTCTAATAACAAAGATGGATTTCAGGTTTAAATGTACAATGACTTTCCATTCCCTTAAAATATGTGTGAGATGTTCTAGAGATTACAGTTACATAACCTGGGGCTGTTTTGATAAACCTTCAAAAAACTCCATTCTCCAATATTGTGGGTTTTGGCTCAGTCTATCAGCACACCTGACAAACTTCCTCAGTTGCTACCAGCCTCCTGCCAGGCAGGAATGATGTACAGAACTGAAAGCCTAGAAGCATCCCTAATAAACTGAAGCCAGTCTTTGAAGTGGTTAATTGATGGACATTTTGTAGAACTCCAGGAAATACTTACCATGGTCCTTACAGTTGTGATGTTCAACTTCGAGTGTGTTTCTTGGCTGCAGGTTTTGTGGTTGTGGATGCTGAATCTTCACCATTGCATATTCCCGGTCCAGGATGAACCTGTCGGGTCAGAAGATGAGTCACTGCAGCTGCTTTCTTGCTTAGGGTGGGTTACTCGAGAGCAGCCATTGAGTAAATAGAGCAGGAGCCAAGAGGCTGCCCCAACAGCAGCCAGTGATAAACTTGTTAGGGCACAGTGACCTCCAACAGTTTCTGGAAACTGATGGTGCAGTTAGGCTAGTTCCCTCAGGTGACCTTTGACCAGGTTGCTGTCAGCACCTGTGAGAATCTGATTAGCTCACTTGTAAGCTCTTTCTGTAGCCAGCTATTTCAGCTCATGTATGTGCCTTGTCTGTTTGCAGTTCTGTTTGTATTTTGTGATGTGAGACCACTGATCAGCCCGTCATGAGCCTACCAGTCATCCTAATGATTCTGGTATAAAAAGAGTATAAAACCACCAAGCTTATGGAAAGCAGGAAAGTGAACTCATTGGAGTTCAGCTTCTGAAGTCAATGAAAACAAATGAATATTTAGATTTTTTTCTTTTCATCTCTGTAGAACCTGGGGCCCAGCTGAGTATCAGAATAAATGTAATTTCCACAAGCCAAGCACATTTATAACTTTCCTCAGAGGGACAAGGCTTGTGGACAAAGGTTACATTGTAGTTGATCTGATGTAGCTGGGAGAGGCAGATGAGTGTTTAGGCAGATGAGTGTTTTTCAGGGTAATGCAGTAAGGCCAAGTGATTTGGCAGATGCCGAGAGCAGATCCATGCAGTACAGAAGTTTTGCTTTTATAATCTTTCACTTAGTGCATCCCTGTAGTTTGCAGATGCACTCCAGAAGGCCACCAGTTGAGGTTTTTTTCTTTCCTTTAGAGAAAGCCTGGCCCAGGACCCCCCATGAATGCTGTGACCCTATTCCCTCATGCACCTAAGTCGAGTCATGATGACCTTTGTTCCCTGCTCACCTGAGCTCCAAAGCTTGCTTGTCCTCTCCTCCCAGGGCTGCTGCTTGCTGTGACCAGAGTCTTCCTGCTTCCCTGACTGAGTCCAGGTTTGCTTCAGAGCTTGCCTTAGATGATGAGCACCACAGGCTTTTAGTTTAACCTCTTTGGAGCACACCAAGGAAGTAATTGCTTCAACCAAGAAGTCATTGCTTTTGAAGTACAAAATCTTCTAGATTAATGGAAATCCAGAAATGCAGCAGCCAAATCAGGGTTGATCGGGTTGGAGCATCTCTTTCTTCTCTTTCTCGAACTTTTAGTCTGAGGAGAAGCGTGGCCCCAGAAATGCCCCCTTTTAAAACACAAGAGTCCCTTTTTTCATAGTCTGGCTTGCTAAATTCCTTATGTTGGCTTCCGTGTGGGGTGCTGGTCAACAGTTTGCCATAGGTTGCAGATCTGATGGATTTTTCTTCAAAGAAGTGCCACCAAAGCTGTGGGGACTGCAACGGACAGGTTTGCCTTGGCCAAGCTGAGATGTGCTCAGCACATAACACAAAGCAGAGTTACAGGCATTCTCCACCACATTACATCATGTGCACCTATGTAAACAAAGAAGAGGTATGATGAGCAAAGTAAATAGGCAACATAATGCAAGGGAATACCATAGTTGTGAAATTTTGTATTCTTCTGCTGAACGAAGGCAGCCTTGTGATGCATTCTGCCAGGTCAGGCAGCTGTGCTGGAAGAGCTGTCACAGTGCCTTGCTCTGTGTGATTGATCCTGGTGGAAACATGATTTAGCAAAGAGATAGAGGTAGTAATAAAAGAGATGAGCACTGAGAACAAGTAGATGCCTGATGATTTCTACTTTATCTGGTTTTTATCTTTAACATTCCGTGTGCATTGGGGACAATGGAAACTGATGTAGGATGACAAAGAATAAAGAAAAAGCTTTTCTCAATTTTATTTTCCATTCAGAAATTCACAGCAGAGAATCATGTGTCTCCAAATATTACGTATGTTCTGCTCAAATATACCAGCTAACAGAAGTCACGGAGATGGCTTTTTGAAAGAGCTGTTTGAAGGAAACTCAAGATACCAGAGCAGAACCTGGCAGGCTTTGTGTTAGCAGATAAAAAGTTGTCAAAATTATGTAATGAACAGCATGAAAAGGAGAACTGAGTGGTGTGAACAGCAGATCACTGAGACTGATGGGTTGGCTGGAAGAAGCAGAAACAAAATTTAAGAAGTGTATAAAAATGAGTGAGGTCATTGCGAAAGAAAACAAACCCACATGTGCTCAGAACAAACAGGAGATCTGAGGTAATTAGTGCATGATGTAAGGGCCTTGGGACTTGAAAGAGAGCAAGGAGAGAAATTGTACCCAGTGCAGTGGAGCAACTCCTCTAAATCAGAAGCAGAAAACAGCAGCTCAGGCTGGGCCCTTGCCAGCCGTTCACAGGCATGCTGACGGATGGAGGCTGGAAGGCTTTTCCAGATTGGTAGTAGCTGCAACCAGATGCTGCAGTCACAGAGTGCTTCAGGGCTAATTGTATTACTTTTATGGTTTTTGACAGGCATGCTAACAGCTGTATTTCTGAGCTTTCTGGGGAAGCAAAGGACAGGGCAGGAAGTGGAGCTGGTAGTTAATCCATAAAGCCATCCTCTGAGAAAGGAGCCTTGAAAGATTTATCCCCAGGGCTGGCAAACAGGAGCGCTCTGGCCAGGTCTGGTGGATTTGGCAAAAAAAAGGTCAAATGACTAATCTCAGTCCATGTATGGATACTCAGTTTGTAAAGCAAGGTGAGCTGGAGAGAAAACTGCTGGAGGGACTTCTGTTGTCGTGTTTGTTCATTCAGCCAGAGGAAGATGAGTGGCTGCCTGGGTGAACTGTCTTGTGTTCATCACCCCATGATGTCCTTTTCTACAAAATGCTTTTGTTTTTAATAAGTACTACTCAGCTTTGTGAGAATTACCTGGAAATCCCATTGACTACCTGAAGAAGATGACTATCACAGGGACAGATTTGGTGGGGTACTGAGGTTCCCTCCCTGCCTAGACAGTGAGGGGAGCTTGGGCAGCCAGCACTAGTCAGGCGGGACCATGGACTTTTTCTGCAAAGAAGTGGCAGCTTTATGCTTGAGGTGCCCCTGTAGACACACAAGAGGAGGAAAAGCCTTGACAGTAGCAGTGAATGTTAGTCACTGCAGGCAATAAACACAGACTGCCCATCTCGTGCTTCTCCATCCCTCAGCTATTTTCGCAGAGCTGCTTTTAACCGTGGAGAAGACAAGGAGACTTAAAGAACAGAGAGTATGTCATGTAGTTCTGGTGTGAATCTAACATCTTATCAGAAATAAAGTCATCTGTGGCTTGATGGGAATGAGAACACCAGTTATGCCCTGCAGCATCAAGTAGCTTTAATCATGGCACCACCCTGAATGTTTTGGGACTGAGTCTCTGTGTTCATTAATGTGGTCCAGGCTTTTCCACTCAGCCGTATGTGTGTTGTGTGTACATCCATCTGTCCACTGGAGAAGCTGCTGCTGCAAGTCTTCTTGGGACCAAGGGGAAGGGATTAAACACCAACTCTCGCAAAAGTGGATCACTGCTGCTGCACTTCCCTGTCTGCAGGATCAGGCTGCAGGGGGCGTAGGGCAGACCCCCCAGGGACTCAGGTGGTGGGCAGACCTCTTTCTGGGGTCACCTCAGGCAGAGGTGACAAGAGGTGATGCTTTCTCCAGCTGCCTGAGATGCGCTGCTGCTGGTGAGAGACCTTGATCACACTGGACGTCTGGGTGGCTCTTGTTGTGCATTAGTTTTGGTGACATTGTGGCTGAGGCTGCCCAGAGGGGTCTGCCCTGTTGTGGGCAGACCAGGCAGCAAGGGGAGGCCTGCAGCCTGGGAGTTGGCACCGACACCCTGTCAGAGCTGCTCCACAGCAACAGGCATGGGGACCTGGGGTGAGGGCTCGGTTCCCTGTAGCCCAATGCTGCCTAGCTTTTAGGGCTGCGTAGACTGCATAGACTGAAACTTGCTGCAAAGACCTCCAGCTCCAACAACTCTCTACTTGTAGATTGAAAAATACTAAAATGTTTCAAACTGCATTTGTCTAACTTCTCATAAACAATCATTGCTATAGTTGCAGTTTAAGCTGATTTGCTAATCCCAGCACAATGTTGTGGGCCCAGCTGAAATATTTGTGCTTACATTTGTGTTTGATCAATATGGAGGTTTCTTTTACTTTCTTCATGAAGTTGTAGGGCAAACCCTTCCCCTCCAATTGAAAAGTCACTTGCTCATACATTTCTTCACTTCCCAAAGACACTGCCTAAAAAATTAGGGAAAAACCAACCTCACCCTCCAACTCTTCCTCTTCCCTGCAAAAAGCCTCACCAAAATGCATGGTGGCTGTTCCTGATTAGAGGAAGAGTTTTCTGCAGAAAACCTTGACTTTACATAGATAGGATATATTTAACTTTGATTTACCCAGTTCTATTTTTGAAGACAAATTGTCAGCAAAAATGTTGACTTTTGTTGAAAAGTTTGCTTTCTACTGAAAAGAAAATGAATGAAAAGTGGAGTGTTGAGTCTGAAGCTTTCCTGTTCTGGTGCCACAAGCTTTTTCCTAGGTTCACCCAAAATCCCACACGAAGTAACTGGTAGAATTTCTTTGTTGTTAACTCAAAGCCCGAACCTTCATCTAAGCTCATCTGTACGGAGGATGGCCTCCATGTGCAAACTTCATTTGCAAAATTTTGTGTCTCTGGCTCTATTGTTAATATTTTTAACTAACTTTTTTCAGAGATGTAAGAAGGCTTAATAGGTCGTAAATATGAACTACTTTGCTACCTTTTAAAATTTTTTTAAATTTCCTTCTTTTTTTTTTGGCATAGAAGGCATCAGTAGATCAGCTTTTGTCCTAAGGAACCCTGGTAATATTCTTTCCTGTTTCTATAGGGAAACACAGAGAAAATCGAAATAGGACTTACAAATTTAAGACATTTGTTTCAGATTGTCTGTGTAAATGAGTACCTAATCAAATGTAAATTCCTAAATTTTTTCTATTTCTTATTTCCTTAGTACTGTTTCTCTTGGAGCTTGCTGCTTATATTCAGTTTTTCTTGTAAGGCTGTACTGTGGCTGAACCAAGCGAACAGCTGTGTCAGACGTAAACCCCACGAAGGGCCAGAACATGTCTGTGGTTATCCTTCCAAATTTTTACAGAGGAAATATATCATTGAAAAGCTAACTGGTAATTTTATTTATCCCAACGGGGGGGCGTGGGGTGGTTTCCATTTTTTTTCCTCAATGAAGTTTGGTTGAGCTTACAGCATCTGGGATTTTGTCTTGCTTGTGTTATTTACAGAGAAAGCAGCCAGTGTAGTTTCTGATTTCCAAAAAGATTTTTGGAAAAAGTAACGTATCTGGTCTCAGTGGCCCTTATCCTAAGCCGTTGGTATAATCACTGCTGACTTATCTATTGATGCCCATTTAGTAAGTAAATGGAAATATATTTCATGTATATTTTTGGAAAACTTGGGTGAATGACTCATGAAGTTAATGTAGCACCAACTGTAATTGAGAGAGACTCTGTATAGAACTGCTTATTAGAACAGCAAGATGACAGACATGCATACAGAAGGATTTTAAAGGTCTCGTTTTGTGAGTCTTACTGCTGCAGTGCATGGTTGCATTGAGAAGGGATAGATTTGAAACACAGTGTTCTAATCCTTCCTGGTCTCAATATTTTGCTTGGACATGGAGGAATGTAAAATGAACACATGCTTGGTCCTGTAAGTTTGAATCAGCTGTCAAGCAGAAGACAGTCAAGTTGCACAGTAGGTAAAAAGTCATTACAGGAACGTGGGTAAAAAGTGCATTACTTGCTAGCCTGAGCAGTGAGAGTGGTGAGGGAAATACATCTTAGAGTCCCCCTTCTGCTATCCTTTCTCCTGGCAGTAGGTGTTTACCTTCACCAGGGAACCACTAGCAGTTAGCAATAAAAGGTAGTTAGTCCTTGGCTTTTGTCATCTATGCAGAAGCTTGTCTTTGCTCAGAGTCTTTGCTCAGGAGCTAGCAAGGCTCATTGATGGAGCTTTAAACTAGACATGACAGGGGAAGGAGACAATATAAGGTTTGCCGTTGTCAAGCTGTGGAGTGACACACCAAGGTTAGAGGGACAGAGTGCAGGCAAGGGCCCTCAGCCAGTGGATCCTGTGGTGTTCTAGCCACACTGGAGCACAGTTGCAATCTTATGCAGACAACCCAGAGGCCCCTGAGGTGCTAGAAGCCAACAGGGGAACCCTAGTGAAATATCTCAATGAAATTAAGGGGTGTTTCTCTAAGAAGGCAACATGGCTGACGCACAGCCTTTACACCAATGCCCAAAGTGTGGACAACAAACAGGAGGAGTTGGAAGCCACTGCACTGCTAGAAATCTATGACCTCATTGCCATTACTGAAACTTGATGGGACAAATCCCATGACTGAAGTGTGACTGCTGATGGCTACAGGCTGTTCAGAAGGGATAGGGGAGGAAGGAGAGGCGAAGGGGTTGCCCTCTACGTCAAGAGGTGGATTGAATGTGAAGAGCTGTT